AATACAGCATTTCTGAGTTGATGATTCAGGCAAACAAAAGCGTTGAAAGAAAAATGATCACTTTAGTTTTATTCTTTAGTGCAACTTTTAGATAAAAAAAAAATTGCAGCAAAATTTAATCTCCTTTTACTTGGTAAGAGTAGACATAGTCCAAATTAGAATGGCATAGATGGAGAGATTATGGAATGGAGACTAAAATGCTCTCTTAATAATGAATAATGATGAATATAATTTTGGAAAGAAAATATCCATTTTGATTTTATGAAAGATCAATAGATATATTTGCACAAAATCGAATAATGTCTATTCAGTTTGGGATAAGTAGCTTTTGTTTCAAACCAGTTTTTGGGAGATATATATATATATATAAGAAATAACTTCCTTACTAATATATAAATCAATACAAAAATTTCATAGTTTTTAAAGCATTTTTGCTGCTTGTGAATAAACTTGAAATACTTAAAATATCCTTTTTATTTTTGAGCCACATTACACTGTATAAATTTGAAATTATTTGCTTTTGTTTATTTGCATCAAAATGCTGCTTGGTTTTTCAGAGCGTTAATTATGTAAATTTTTTGCTTTTCTTGCTTTCATTCATGTAATATATCACCATATTTGTTTACAAAGGTCACTGAGTAAAAATAAGCTCCTATGAAAATTGAACAGATCTGGGGCGAACTGTTGACAACTGCAAGTAAATTGAAAATGGAATCTCTTAAATTATAGAATCCTCTGTAAATTTTCTTTGATGGATAATGGTTTTAGAGAATTGTTAAAGAATGTGTAGAAAGCAAACTTTCTTTTAATGGTGTTAAGCAGAATAATTATCAGTATTTTCTCATTATCAATTCAAACATTGCAACTATTGAAAGTTTACTTCCAGAGAAGTAACTGAATATTTTGCTTTTTTTTTTTTTTTGTTCCCCCCTGTGAGTAGTAATTACATGAACACACACACACATACATATATATATATATATATATATATATATATATATATATATGTGTGTGTGTGTGGAGTAATGGATAGCAGTTCAGATTGAGAAATTGAAGAGTCTAGCTCATTATACTCACTTACATGTAAATACCCTTTGGAAAGGTATGAATTCATCTCTTCTCCTCCAGCTATGGGTAAATAGGACAGACTGGGCCTTATAGCTTTGGGTGGCAACTGGTCTAGGAGAAGGAAATCTCTGAATTCAAAACTTGAGTGGTCAGCAATTAAACTGCCTCTCCCACCAGACCAGTGTCTGATGAAAAGAGTAAGTGTGACCCCCAACAGCACAAAAAAGCTGTTAAAGGGTGGTTGAACTCTTCAGTCAACTGCCATCTGCCCCAATTATAGGTTAAATTACCTCACCAGCCAACAATTGGCCAAGCATGGTGTGTAAAGCTACACCTCTGAAGACATGGCCAGACCTCCATTAGGTGTGAGTAGGCTCTGGATTTGGAAATATATATATTAATTTAGCTGTTAAATGTCTCCTCTGAGTTTCCTGAAGACATAGTGTGATTCTGTACAACTCTGAGTAGGCTTCAACATCTAAGTGAACAAATTCATTTTTATTATTAATACTCTCTTTTTTTATATTAGATATAATTACAAAGACTACTTACCTTAAACAAGTTACCTTAAAAAAATTACCCTGGTCGATCAATTTTAGAAATGTACAATCTGTTTTATTAATATATATGGTGTCTCCAAAAAAAAAAAAAAAAAAATGAATACACACTTTTATAGTGTATCGCTCAACTTGCTTTCTTTTCAAATTTACATGTTAGTATTACTAATATCATCCAGACTTAACTTTGAACAAAGAAAGTTCATCCTGAAATGCTACTGGAAGTATGAAAATGCATTTGAAGTTCAAAGGCGGTATTAAAAAGTTTCATTCAGAGCCACCTACACGGCTTACAATCTCATGTATTAGAGATAAGTTTGAAGCTGATGGTACTGTACACGATGTACACAAGAACCATTCTGGAAGACCACAGATATCCACAAGCATCGTGAAGCAAGAAAAGGTGATGGAAAGTTTTCACAAAAGTCAAAGAAACCTATCGAAATGTTGATTGCTGTTTGTGATTCCATTGTGTTGCAATGTCTGGATCATAATAGACATCAACTTGAAAACGTGATAACAATCTTTAGAGCATGCATTTATAATAAATACTGTGTTTATGTGTATTACTTAAATTAGATATACTTGCTTGAATTATTTCTTGAGAAAGCTTCATGTGTATACATTTTTTTGAGACAGTGTGTGTGTGTATATATATATATATATATATATATATATATATATATATATATATATATATATATATATAATATAAGTTTTTCTTGAACCAGTATCAATCTATCTTTATGGTTATATTTAATCATATTAAGTTGAAGTCTGAGAAAAATTGTCAATTTGTAGATTTTTTTAATCATTTCACTCCCAAGTAAGGCAATAAAGCCACTAAAATGAAAGGGTTACTGAATGTTAGAAAATATGAGAAAGAAAAAAAAAACACTTAAGGAGAGAGCACAATAAAAGAACAATAATTAAGAAGACAGAAGATAATGATTGAATTAAAGACTAGAATTTAAACTATTTTTCAAATATCTCTAAGCAATTTGAAATAATCTGTACACAAAAAAATGTATGCGTGTCTGCATTCTTGCCATTGGTATGGAAGCATGTTTTGGTTTTTTATCAATCTTCAAGCTCTTAACCATGGATTTTGATATCTGCATTTGAAGATTACCACTTTTAGTTAACTGATAAAATTCATCTCTTGTTGAGACAGACTCTCTCTTTCACTATATATATATATGCACAAAGATGTTTGTAATAAGGATTTCAATATTTAAATTTGAAAAACACAGGATTGTATATAATTAGCAGAAAAATACAAGATTTTGCAAAATGTTCCCTCTCTTGTATACTTTCAACATTGGAGTTATGCTTTGCTACACTTTGATTTCTAATATATTCCATTTGAAATCAGGTTCTCTTTCACTATATATATATATATATATATATATATATATATATATATGTGCTTTAAAATAAGTACATAAGTGTTTGTGATTGTTCAATATCCTTTGTTAATTTTATCAAATAAAACAAAAGCATGGTTCAGTGTTTTTGTTTAAGACAACTTGTCTGACATTAAATAGCTGTTTCAGACCAAACAATTTCACAATTACTGCTAGCTTGTAATGATATTGATAAATAATATTATAGATCATCATAACCTAAAACCCGTATGGATGGTGTTAAGCTTTGAGAGGATTAATGGTGACATTTGATTTCTTGCTGTGATTTTAGAAAACAATTTTGTTTTTAAACTTAAAATTATCAACACTAGACAATTCGGTAACAACTTGAAGCTCTAAATGAAGTATTTCCATTCTTAGCTATTTTGTTGTACCTTCTTTTTTTTTTCTTTTTTTTTTTCCATCATTCTGCCTCAACTATACTATAGGTGCTATAGGATTGTAATGGACAAGATTGCTGTTGGTCACCAATTTGTAGCAGGTGTTAATAATTGTTACAGGTGAAGTGGAAAAATTTCATAGTAAACAAATTCAACAAATGTAACATCCATGTAGTTGGGTTGAAATTAAGTAGTCAGCTGCTTGAGGTGTGTTTCTTCAGAGAGGAAGAGTTCAGTGTTATTGCTGACATGTCCAGGAATAAAAAGAGTGACAGGATTGATGCCCCTTCCATATATAGTCCTGAATAGAATTTCACCTACCAGTGTTAAGCGAAGTCTAAATGTGAAAAAGTGAGTAAACGTGAGAAAATTAGTAAAATGTTTAATTTTATAAATTTAAAAGATAGCACACGAATATAAAGGCAGAATTTCAATGTTTTTTCCTTTTCTAATCCTTATGACTACAAAAATAATCTATTACAACTGTGGATTGGCAAAAGTTGAACAAAGATTTGTCATCCACATTTCAATGGTATAAACCAATACTCTAGTTTAGTCTCCTATCTGAAACTGAAAGTAAATATGGTTTTTAAATCATACCTATATGAATTTACGTTCAAATGTATTTGCAAGCACTTTTTTATGTCTGTGAATTGTGTGTATTTTGCGTACTTATGGTTTCAAATATATCTTAACTTTTCAGTGTTATAACCTATAGTTGTAGAATATACGCAATATTATTGCTAGAATTAAACCCTTTCACTTTAGATTGGTACATGATGAGGGGCCACTTAGGTACTTATGATTAATAACCTTGTGAAATCCTAGGTACCAAATACTCAAGCAGTACTAATCTGTATGTAGTTTGTGTACTCTGCTTAAAGTTTAGTAGCAACTGTTGCATAAAATCTTAGACATCAGTTTAACTTGTATACTTTTACCTTTGTTAATTTATACACCCTGGGAGTAATACTGTATTAAATTTTTTTTTTCTCTATCATTTTACTGCAAGCAAGGTGATAAAGTCCCTTAAATGCATGGGGTAATATCAGAAATTGAAAGAGTCTGAGAAAAAATAAATGAGAGAGAGAATAATAAAAAAGGAGAAATTGAGGAGACAGAAAATAACAATTGACATTGCATATAAATTTTGGAAGATCAAAGTTGACTGGGATTCAAGAAACTGGAAAAGAGTTTTACAAGTGAGGAGTGCGAGAGAAGAAACTGTTAACCAAGAACTTGTAGTTAAGTTATATTTAGCAATTTCAACTGTAAAATGGTGAGACTTAGCTGCGAATCTATTACTGCACTTAAATTTGTAAAGTCGAGGTACCAAAGAGGAAAGCTCAACAGAACAATTACCATGAAAATTATCTCAAATATGAATTTAACTAAAATTCACAACATTTTAGGAAATACTGAATTGTAATGTGAATTGACATAGAATTCTATAAGACTTCTTAATCCTTAGAAACTTTCGACAAAGTAATTTAACTCAGACATTTTTTTTTTTTTTTTTTCCTTTAAATACTTTATTATAATTCATAAAATTTTCTCATGGCCACATTACATTGAAACACAGGTTCCCATAGAATCACTGAAGTTAAGCAACTTCAAGCCTGGTCAGTACCTAAATGGGTGACCACTTGGGAATACCAGGTGCAATAAGCTTGGAGGTGCAGGTGGTGTAATGGATAATGGCTCAGAATTGTTAATCATGGCCAAGTTCTAATTCCAGTTTGATCTGTCATATTCACTTATGTGCAAATATCCTTGGGAAAGGTACAACTCTACCTCTTCTATAGGTTAATTAGTAAGACTTGTATCCCTAAAACCATTATCTCAAAAAAAATAAATAAAATTGCATACAAAATATTTAGACTTTGGCATTAAATAATATATGCTGTTGAACAAAAACAACCAATCTTAAGTTGTTCACATATTCATATATCTTTCTTCTTTTTTTCCCCACTCTTCCCTCTCCTCAATTGAGTAGCTCCCAAAAAATTAGCTTCAAACCTCAAGATTATTATTACTCCCCAAGTAACTGATCCTGTCTTTCGTGAATAAAGTGAATAAAATAATTGGGACTTGTATAAACCTGAACAAATGTGACAATTGATTTAAGTGATTACTTAATTTTCAGTTAAAGAAAGTTCAGTAGGTTGTCTTAATCTTTATTTTTGTCAGACAATAGTTTTGTCTCAATCTTCATTATTCACTGGCTTAATATGTCAGCATTGGAGAATGTAATGGTATAAGAGTTTTTTTTTTTTTTTTGCACTGGTGTTTATGAATAAAAATATCTATGTAGATACAATTTCTACAATCTGGGTTGTCAGGCTAGATTTTGAATGCCTAGCACTACTAAATTTGGAGTTTCACTACTTGGGGATACTTTTACCATGGGTTACTTATGAGAAGGAAGTCTATTTAAAATTTAGTATTTAGTGCATAGCTACTTCAACAAACCTTCCTAGACTATAAAATGTCACTTTATCGCATAAAACATGAAGGCTATCTAAGATTCACTGGTGGTGAACTTGTATTTGAAGAAAAATTCTTTGTCTTGTGAAAATTAAAGAAAAATGCTTCCTGAAAATACTATTTTCAAACAGTCATCTACCTTTCATTGATATAGACCAATAGTTTCCATCCATTTTTTAAAAACTGGATTTGATACTATATTTAGCAATTTTCAAACTGTGGTGCTTTGTCAAGTTTCAGTATTCCAAAGAAATAAATTTTTCATTGTCTAAATATTAAATCATTCTAAAAATTACAAATTCAATAAAAAGTTCTCACAATCTACAGAACCCAATTTAAAAATCAGATGAAGTCCAAAGAGTAGAAATTCATTAAGCTACTTGAATTCATAGAAAATAATTTCTGTTCTAGACAATACCCAACATACCTAAGTGTTTAAATTACTGTATTTTTGAATGATTTTATAATTGCATACCTTGTTAGAAAATGTTAGAATTTGGCAGTCAACTGAATGATTACAAATCCTCTCAATATAGTTATTTATCTAACGAAATAAATTTACATATATAGTGCTCAAATGACCTATGCCAAATCCACTTTCCAGAATCTGACAAACCCTTTTTTTTTAATTCCTCCATTGCAGTCTTGGGAGCTACTATATGTCTGGGCCAGGTAGTTCTTTTTCATATTAGTCATCATGTCCATGATGACAACCTTCAATGAATCATAGGTGTTGTGGAGCCACTGGTTGGCCAAATTCTTGGTGACATCTCCAGCTATTGTAATCTAGAGGATTCAAATCAGGTGAGCTTGGAGGCAACATTTTGGGAGTAACTTGATCATGAAAATTCTCTCTGTCACTCTTAGGTAATATTGAGCTATGTGGAAAGGAAGCTGTCTCCTGCTGAAACATGTATAACCACCTTCTCTCAAATCACCATGTCTAGCACCTTGATATCAGCAGTGGCTTTAACCCAGATTTCTCATGACCTCTATGGCCATCATAAAGAACATGAATTTGATGTGTATCTGCAGGATATCCACAGAGCCATCTGTTCTTCCTGTTCACCTGACCACTTTAAGAAGCCAGTAATCTCAGTTGCTATGGTTTGTGTTTAGCACCATGAGCTAAGATTGGCTTTTCATTTCCTGTGTCTGGTTGAAAGCTGCCATATTAATGCCTTCAATATATCTAAAAGTGCAATAAGAATGTTAAAATTTGGTGCATGCCTTATAACATTGGTTGTCTTTCATTTATAGTCTGCTGGAGGCGTGTTCTCAAATACTTAGGCTTGATTAATGTTATATCAGCACCTCGACTCCAGAGTTTTGTAGATTAACCTTTTTGTAATTGTTTGGTCCACTCATCAGGAGGTTGGTTTTCAGCAATTGACTCTGGATTTTCTCATTTTCATAGGAAGTTAAAAATAATTTATGCACTATTTATTGATTGGTGTTAGGTTGATATTTTTTTTTGTGTGTGTGTCAAATGTCATAATTGTTTGTCCTTTACATTATTTTCTTTTCTCTTTTTTTTTCCCCTCTCTCTTGACTCTGAGTGTGTCAAACAGTATGCATATTTGGTTGAAGACAAAAATTTAATTTTTTTTCTTTGGCTTTGATCATTTTCCTGATTTTCAGGAAGAATTTGACTATAAATTCTCCAGTGTTTTCAGAGTACTTTTAGTTTTCATTAACTATTATCAAAGAATTCTTTGTGTGTTAACAGGAGTATGTCTGGAAGCATACATTGTTTCTTTGGTGATTTTTGAGTATCTTTTCAATAGGTTTTGGGTATCACATCTTCAGCTTGATGTGTCTTATTCCCTACCTTATTAATTGGGAAATGTATTTAATATTTGTTCCTAAACTAAATTAAATTTTATTGATGCTGGGCCATTTGCTTTTTATGGTTAGCACTTGTAATATTTGTAGTCTTTTTCTCCAATTTATGCAGTATGGTAATTTTTTGGTATTATAAGTATTTGTTGCATTTCTTGTGTTGGCTCATGATATGCAATTTAATGGAGTTATCATTGAATAAATAAAAATGGAAAGTTAATGAAAATGTGGTAATTGTGTAACAAATGTAATTGTTTAAACTTTTATTAGAAACTTTCTTTAAATGGGCAAGCAAATTCATGGACAATGTTGGTTTGTCAAATTTCAAACAACCCAGCATCAATAAAATTTCAGTTTAGGATGAATGTTAAATATATTTCACAAGTAAGGAAAATAAAATGATTTGAAGACTTGATCAAATTTGATTTTAAAAAACTCTCATTGCACCCATAGGCATGTGATGAAACAATACTCAAAAATTACCAAAAAACTAAAAAAACAAATTTTATTTTGATAATAGTTTAGAAAAAGCCAGAAGCACAAAGAAGCATTGAATAATTTATAACTTTACCTAGAAAACAGAAAAATGTTCTTTTTAATATAATTTGTTCTATTAATTTATAATAAAGTATGATTTTTTTCCATTTCATAAAAATCAGTTGGTGTGAGTTCAAATATACCTTTTGATTTTGATGTGTGGGTAGTGTAATGGATGGTAGCTCAAAATAAGAAATCAGAGCCATGTTTGAATTCCAGTTGAGTTCATTACATTCACTTATGAGTAAATACTCTTGGGAAATATATGAATCTCTCTCTTTTCCTCGACATTTAAGGGTTAAATAGTACCTGTATTTAGAAAAAAAAATAAAACATTATCTCCAAAAGATTGCTAATGCAATATTCAACAATAAAAAAAATCACTATCCAAAATGTTTCAGCTTTAAATAAACCACAAAGGGTTGATAAGCTATAAAAAGAAAATCCATTTATTTCCACCAAAAGCAAAGCTGTTATTTAATTTTCCTCCTTTTAATATTCTAATGAAATATTTTGAGAAAAAAAAGTGAATCCCATTTTTGTAAAATTTATAAAATTGAACATGAATAGTTTTGCTAAATGTTATATGTAGTGATTTATCATAGATATTGAAACCAAGCTAGAATGTAATATGTGAAGGGGTCATTAAGGCCTTGTCATTATTAATCAATTAACTGTGGATTAAATTTTCAGTCATTTAGAGATCCATGTCAATTACTAATGACATTTCTGTTGCAATTATGATGTAGGAACAATGTGATAAAAATTGAAATTTTTTTTTTTTTTTTTTTTAAATCATAAAAATATCTATTTACATCCAAATTTTATATTCTTACTGTAGAACTTTTGACTGTTTTTTTTTTTTTTTTCCTTTTTAGTAAATGATTGCTTATTAAGAATTTGTCTTTCAACCTAAATATACTGTGAAATATAAAATATTTTGCATACTTTCTATAAATCTAGTCCTTATTTTGTACAGGATATGCATTTATACTACTTGAGCTGTTTTAAAATGAGTAACTGAAAATATTTTAACTTTGAAAAGTGTTAGGTTTATATGCTAAATAGTTATTTTACAACTCACATTGAAAATTATTTGTAATGTTCCTTTTTTTTTTTTTTTTTTTTTTTACTTTCCAAGTAATAAAGTTACTAATTTATTGCTTCAAAAGAAATTTCCTAAAATCTACACATCTGTACTGTTGCATAAGTATTTTGATAAAACAAATTCTTTTATATGCTGTCAAAATCATGAGGTGTTTGCATTTGTGCATTAATTCAACCGTTCTGTTCCCTCCCCACCTTTTAACTAATGTGGAGGACAGACATTTAAGACACCAGATGTTGGGGGAGGGGGTTGACCAGGTCGTGATACCAAAGCTGCTTAACAGTTTTTTGGGTTTTTTTTTTTTTTTTTTAACACTGGTCTTTATTATTGTAATTCCATTACTATCATTAAATATCCTCGTTTCAGATTCTTGGAAGTGTATTTAGCCTTTTGCTTTTTTCTTTACTTTTATTAGAAGAAAACAATTAACCTCTTATTGTCAACTGATTTTTTTTTCTTTTAACATTTTCATATACATACTGTTAAAATAAGTTACTGACGGTCAAGAAGTGTGTTTGATAACAAACCAAACGTAGAGTATTTATATACCCTAACATTCAATCATCTCCAGTACTGTAAAATCTTTAGGTTTACTGGTGTATTTTCAATAGATATGTTTTCACCAGTAAATATTACTACATTTTTTTTTTTTTTTTTTTTTTTTGCATATCTGAAATAGAGGCTTAATATTATCTAAGAATCTTTTTAAAGAAGGAAAAATCTCAGTTATACAAAAATAAAATGCTTTCATTTCGTAAATTTATCAATTGGACTCCTTTCATATGTTTGAAAGAAGAAAGAGTTGTGTAAATCATCTTTTATAGATGATTATATCCAGTCATTATTGGCTTGGTTTTAAATGAACTTATAAAAATACTAACATAATTTCATAGTAGCTAATCGCTTACAAAGAGTGACATATGAGTAGTTAAATATTATTTTTAATATTGGTCAATATCTTGGTACCATTCATTAATTTTTTTTTCTAGATGGCTGAAACTGAAGAAGAAAACCAGCCTGTCCTTGAAGTGGAAGAGGAGGAAGAACCAGCCCTCAACTACAAACCTCCTGCTGAAAAATCCATTAATGAAATCCTCAAGACAGATCAGGATGACGCAAGTTTGGCCAACTATAAAAAGAAGTTGCTAGGAGATGCAGCTGATGCAACTAACGTTATTGTCTGTAAGTGGAAAAATTTACTGGATTTTGATTGGGTTGTTTCCCTTTTATGCCAATTAAAAATATACCTTAACATTCGATAGATTTCTTCTTTTTTTTCTTTTTATCAATGTTATAAAATAGCTTTTTTGATGATTACAGGCTTCTTTTCTTTTTTTTTTCTTTTTTTTCTTTTTTTTTTTTTTTTTTTTTTTTTTTTTTTCTCTTTTTTCTTTTTTTTTTTTTTTTTTCCTTTTTTTTTCTTTTTTTTTTTTTTTTTTTTTTTTTTTTTTTTTTTTTTTTTTTTTTTTTTTTTTTTTTTTTTTTTTTTTTTTTTTTTTTTTTTTTTTTTTTTTTTTTTTTTTTTTTTTTTTTTTTTTTTTTTAAATAAAATAGCTTTTCTGGTAATTGCAGAAGGGCTTTGTTTTTTTATGCATTTTTTAGGATTCAACTTTGGCAAGATTATTGTTCCAAATAGAAATTGATAGCATTATGTTGGGTCAAGCAATAATTAAGCAGTAGTACTAAATAAGAACTTGATAATCTCCCTGGTCAACAGACCAATAATAATCTCTAGTAGATTAGTGATCAGCTCGAAATTCCCTGAATGCTACCCAGTTTGACAAGCAAAGGAGGGCACAAATGTTGTGATGGTAATAACAAAGATGAGGATAATAGTCTGCATGCAAATAACTCCTCATCCCAGAAATTCAGGCAGAAAATGTGTATTAAAAATTAATAGAAAATTTGGTTTAATTTTGGGAATCAAAAAAAAAAGTAACCTCGTAGATTTATATTCAATAAAAGTGTTGGTTGGTTATAAACTTGAATGTGCTTCTTAATGCACTTTTTAGGTATTTTGTGTGAAGTGTTTTTCATAAATTGAAAGACTTTCTCTATTATAAATATAAATGTGAGGACTTTACCTTATATCAACTATTGTTTTGTTTTTGTTTTTTAATTGTAAATTAACTCTTAGATAAAGGCATACACTTATTTTACAATAATACAAAACCAAATGGAGGGATATTAGTGCATGGAAAATTTCTGGCTTTTACCCAAACTAGATCATAGTTCTAGTTTAGATAAAGAATTTGTTTGAATGCCTAAATTCTCTCTCTCTCTCTCTCTCTCTGGATGTATGTCTATCTGTCTCCCTATCTCTCTCACTCTCAAATTGTTTCTTAAACTTGTCTACCACATCTGAAGCTTGATATTTTTTACCTCTTTCATCTGAGGTGGGTTGACCAACCACAAATGTAAATTTAATGGCTTCATATTTATTACTTTATCTAGTAAGTTATTTTAATTAGATGCTAAAAGTAAGATTTGAGTAAATCTTTGGAATGTTGGAGAAATAAGATCTTTAGTTTTGCACATCTCTAAACTGTTCAATACTAATATGCTTGAATAGAGAATACTTGATAAAAGGGAGTGAGACTACAGCTGGAAAGGAAAGAAATAAGTAATGCAATCAAGAGGGCTTAAGTAGAAAAACACATTGATTATGCAAATGAGATTATTAAATCAAAGATATAAAGGGATTATTAATAATAAAATAAAAGAATTGTATAAATGGCATTTTTTGTTTTTGATTATTATTTTTTAATAAATTCCCATTTTGTTTCAATCCAATTTAAAACTTAGAAAGACTATGGCATTGTGTATAGTCACATGATCATTTTCACAAAAGAAGGAAAGAATAGAATTGGAAGAAGAGATGAATGGATAAAAGACAACAGATGGTGGGTCATGGAGGATCCAGCTGATCAGGCAGCCATGCTTGTAACACTGCCCAGTATGTAAAATGCTGCCTATTCTTAATAGAAAACGGTCATCCAGACATTCTCTCTCATTCATTTTAAACATTTAAGCAGGCCTGCTTACATATGATATAGAAGTTCCTGTTTATTAATAGCAAAATAAAGCTAATGCCTATATTTTGTATTGTAGTCTTATATAGTTGTCATTTGTGTTTAAATTCCTTAAAATGTTTACACTGTTTGCTTTGTTTTTTGTGTTGATTTCTCATAATTGGAATTTTTTTTTTTTTTTTAAAGCAATAATTTTATGGTCATAAAAATGTTTTGTGTATGTGTATTAAATAAAATGTATAGTCATAAATGTCATCTTCAAGGAGTTAATTTTCGTTGATATGCATGCATATCCAGAACTATAATTCCATCAGCTTTGTTAAAAGGGGATATATGAATGCTTTTGTTGTTAGATATTTCTTTGCACTTCCTTGCAGACATATGAAAACCCTAAAAGAAATATCTAATAACAAAAACATCCATATATCCCCTTCCAATGAAATATATGGGATTATAATTATGGATATACACTTATATATAATTTTAATGGTCAGAGTTGAATTAGACCAGGAAACAGTAGTATTAAAAAGTGCTCAACACATATAAAAAGAATAGATTTAACATGTAGGGCTTTTAAGTATAAAAAAAATTAGGTCAGCCAATTCTGCCACCTTGGTCTCAACCTTTCAGTATGTTGAGAGTAGTGGAATCAGCTGATCTCCTTTTATTTATTTATTTATTTATATATATATATATATATATATATATATATATAATATATATGTGTGTGTAAAATTCAAGAAACCAAACTGTCAAATTAACTATTTGTCAAAAATCGTCATGTGGATAAAATGCACTCAATTCAAATGAGGAAAATGCAGACCAATTTAAGGTATAAAATTTTTACAGGGAAGCCAACTTTCCTCACTACTACCATGGTTTTGCCAGGTAGTGAGTTAGGCTTTACTAAAGTTAGTAGTAGCAAAGAAGGTTGGTTTTCCTCAATTGAATGACAGAGTGAAAAAAATTTGGTATATCATGTCTCATCCTCTTGATGGGTTTCATCAAACTATAATAATGTTTTGATAGAATTGTGTGTAGTAGTGTGTTAAAATATAAACATGGGCATCAATTATACAGGGGTGAAACACTGAATTTAAAATTTAGTGTTTCACCTCGGTACATAATTATAAGCAGTGCTCACATTTATATCTCCTACTCACATAATTCCATCAATAATAACATTACTTAGTCTGAAGTTCTTTTAAAGGAAGAAACATCTTGCACAACTTTTCCACTTTTGTCATTCATTTGCCTAACATTGTTCTGATATATAGAAATTTATATATTATATTCTCCTATATATATATGCTTAGGTTTACTTGGTCCATATATCATCAAAACCTCATTTGGTGTTGATTGTTTCTGCTTTATAATTTTCTGTATTCTGTTCTTTTTTTTTTCTTTTTTTTTTTTCTTTTTTTTTTTCTTTTTTTTAATTCGTTTTTCATTTTTGTACCTTTCTTTGTGGTTATAAATTTTATTCAAACTGCATTTTGTTATTTTTACAAAGTTTAATATTTGTTGATACAGCTGTCAAAAAAAAAAATGAAGCCAAGATCAAACAAATAATTGTTTGAACCATCTGAGTATTTGTGGAATCAGTTTGTTCTGCAAGATATTGTAAAAGGAAACTATGCTTATTTGTTTGTACATTCATACTATTAAAAAATATTTTCACTTAAGATTGCTGCATAAAGAATGTCTCTAATTTTCTTAATTCAGTGTTCTCCAGGTATACAGCTTAGTCAATTTGTATGAATATTTTTATCTGCTAGCCAAGTGTTTTTATGTCTTCCTAACATTTTAATCAATTATCCTAATTGGTGACATAAGACCCACTGTTTTACACACACAAAAATTTTTTTGTTTTAACTTGTGAGTTTTTATTTATTTATTTATTTTTTTTTTTTTTTTAACTTAAAATAATTTCAAAACATTAAGAAAGAAAAAAAATTACCTATAGACAAAATGTTGGAACTCTAGTGTACAATGGGGATGAGAAGTAGTTCTTATGATGCTGTTAATTATAGTAATTGCTTAAAATGATAGGGGACACTTGATCAGACTTTGATAAACAAATATATGTATATATACCTGGATAACATAGAATTGACAAATTTAAATTAGATATACATTCTTTAGATGGCAGTCAAAGGTGAAACTATTTTCAGAATGTTAATTATATATCAAATATTGCATAATGAATTCTAATAAAACTGATTTTGGTTCATCTGAACTCATTTGCCCTGCAACCATTTCTTTCAAATGGCATATTTGATTTATTAGCAAGGTCAACTTGATCTATAATTTGACATCTATTCTCAGAATTTTAGTAAAAAAAATTTTTTTATGTTTTATTTGATTTTTTTTTTATTTATCTATTTATTTATTTTGTGATGTATAGTCAAATTGAGATATCTTTCTCACACTCCAAAGTTTTCTCTTATGGATCTATAGGCAAGAATAATCTTTTATCAGCTGGTTTAAGACTAATTTCTTTTGCTAAAATGTATTTAACAATAGAAAAGGAAGTCAGTGTATAGATTCTCTAAGTTATATTAAAATCAATTGTAAAGCCTTGCTACATTTATTCTGTTTAAATGCAGTTGTCTCTAAAATATTATTTTTTCCCTTACTGCCAGAATTTGCTGTCTCATGTTATCATAAGAATGACTAAACATATTAGATAAAATAAATCATAACTCTGAAATCACAGGTTTATATAAATTATTTTTTAATAAAAATGTCACCATGTATGGTTTTTTTTTTTTTTTTTTTTTTATCCAGTTCCTGATAATAATTCTAGAGTGGTACTCGAATCACTGAAGTTGAAAATCGATTCCAGGCCAGATGTAGTTGTTTCCTTGCGGGGTGAGTTATTTTTATTAATGGTATTGGTATTATTATAATTTTCTTCCTCTTTGAATTGCTATGTTTGAATAAGATTAATCAAAGGGGGAAAACTCTTAATTCAACATAACATACAAGCAATTTAAAGAAAGATTCAGTAATTTTAACTATAAAAATTTTGATTTTGTATTTTTGCCAAACAAAAATTAAAATCCAATATTGGAATGTTACTTTTAATCTTTAATTTTTTTTTTTTTTTTTTTTTTTAAATTTCACTTGTGGATATTTCAGTTTTCCTATTTAAATTACCTGATAAATTTTAATTTAGTGATTGAATAAGCTCCTTGTGAATTCTAGGACTATAAAATACCTGCAGAAATTCTTTTATTGCATCATTAAATATTTGAATGCATGAGTTGACACAAGTTCCTTGACATTAGGACTTAGAGAAGATTGTGATTTTGCAGGAAGATGGGTGTTGGTTGTGACCCCCATTAATGATGCCTGACACATCAAGCTGGGCCTCCGGTAGTTGGCCAAGGTATTACATTTGCAGGCTGACCCCCTTGTGTGTACACCATTGTACCTTGGATACTATGATTGGCAAATCAGGGATATGCATTAAAGCTACTAGCAAGGTACTGACATGGAGGAGGCTGAGTTCACTCAAAAGGCTAGTCCAAGGATGTGGGTTATCTATGGATATAGCATTGGCCATATAAGTTCATAATTTAGCTGACAGATTAACCAGGATGCCACAGAGATGGTCTGATTTAATGAAGGAGGAAATTGTGCCTCTGTCATTTTTCTTCCTCTGTCAATGAGCAGGACCCTAGCCAAATAATGGCCATATGCCAATATAGTGAACATCAAAGAGGAAGACAATGCTGAGAATTTCGGCAATAAGAACATACTGAACAGTAAATTTAGTGCTCATTGGCAATGAATAACACCAGACCTGGCAGAGATTGATAATGAATATATAACTCACTTATTGCAACAGCCATTACCTAATGCTTATTGACTGTGGTCTGTCATGGTTGTTATTGTGGTAGACACTGGCTCAATAAGATTTGTTAAGTAATATATGCCAGCTGGCGTCTGAGTGAAGTCCATCACACAAATACTACCACATTTTGCAGCAAGGAGGTAGTAACCTTTTGTGCAGAGAATGCAGCTGTATTTCTGGTGCAGACATGTCCATGCAGGATACAAGATAGAATCATGGAAAGGATTTGTTGACTCAAACATGCTAGTGGGTGTCAGTGTCTGAGAGCAATTGAGAAATTGCAATAAAATCAATTGCACCAAATAATTTTTCTGGAAGTGGACAACTCAATTGGAAGTGAAATTCAGTTACCTAACCTGTGGGGAAGAAAACTTGACAAGAAATTGCTCCTGAATCTTTTGTAATCAAGATTTGAGTGGGAGATGAATCAAAACAGCAACCTCCTTGTCTGTTATAAAAAAAGAAAAGAAAAAAGAGAGCAGTTGCATGTATTTTGTCTTTTTGATGTGTGTCAATTTTAGCAGAAGTAAAGATGTGGGCACAAATGAGAGAGAAAGCACATCATTCCTGTCCAAAAGGAAATAATTTCATCATGTAAATTTGGATCTGCAGCACTACCTAGGATTAGTATGTGTGTGTTCACTTTTTATATGAATAAAATGCTATAGGTTGTATGTAATTCTGGATTTTATTTAACTGCTGTTGATGTCTCATATTTCTCAATTTAGTTTGCTCTGCACATCGTTAATCAATTTAATATTTGCTATTGCTATAAGCAATGACAACATTAATTGAATGCTGTAAAACTCATACAAAATCTTTTTTATTTAATAAGTTGTTTGTGAATATCCCAATACTGATATGTGAAGAATTAATGTTTAGCTACTGTCATAATTATAAACGTCAATAACACAGGAGACTTAAATATTAAAAAAATTTTTTTTTTTTTTTTTTAAGAAAATCTACAGTTATCGTTCATGACTATTTTTTTCTTTCATATATTCCTATTTTCTCATTGGTAAATTTAGTGTTTTAAAATACATATGTTCAGCATTTAGCATTTTTAATTTTATTCAGTGCTCTGCCACTTTTTTTTTTTTTTTATCCAAATTTATATTTATTTGTAAGTTTTTGGGGGGTTTTTTTGTTTGTTTTTTTTTTTGTTTTTTTTTTTCTCACTTTTGTATTTTTCTTATTTTTGAAGGTGACCTCTCTGACCTTGTCAATTCTCCATTTATTATCAAAGAAGGCTGCAAATATCGTATGCAGATCGACTTCTACGTCCAGCGAGAAATTGTGTCTGGCCTCAAGTATCAACAGAGCGTCTTTAGGAGATTAGTTAAAGGTGAGAACTTTGAATTTACTCTAGAACAGATTACTTCCCTTGCATGACCTTTCATACAAGAAATGAACGATCGATTTTATTTGTATATATCCTGCTTCATGACAACAGAACTGCCAAGAAAGGTGAAATGGACACAAATTTACTGTAGATGTACACTTTCTATACATTTTTGCCTTAGCAAATTGCATTGTCTTTTAATTAAAGTAGCATCTTTTAATTGAAATTATGGTCAAATTCATTAACAACTGATACATTGCGTTTGTTTGTTATAAAAGATCTCTTTTGTGTTTTTATATATATATATATATATATATATATAATATGGGGAGGGGGTAAACTTTTAAAACTTAATTTTTGAATTTGTATATCATTTTAGTGTACATAGTGTATAATTTTTATAAATTTTATTTTCAGTGGACAAAACCAGTTACATGGTAGGCAGTTATGCTCCCTCCAAAGAGCTAAAATCATATGAGACACCAGCTGAAGATGCACCCCATGGAATGATAGCCCGGGGTAAATACAATGTGACCAGCAAATTTGTGGATGATGATAACCATGAGTACCTCAAGTGGGACTGGTCTTTTGAGATAAAGAAAAGTTGGGATTAATATTTACCACAATCTACAAATATTTTGTTCAAATTAACTCATTGCTGTCAAAGAATGAAACCAACAAAAAAAGACCAGAATGAAAAGAAATGACAAAAATCAAACCAAATCAAAACAAAAGAATTAAGTCATTTAAAAAAAAAACAAATTACAAAATCTGCTTCTAAAGTCTTTTATTTGCTGCATGGTATGAAAGCTAGGACTCTGAATGAATAAAATTTCCCATCTTTTCAAACTTTTTTTTTTTTTCCTTTGTTCCCCACTAATTTTTTTTGGCTTCCTCCTCCTCCTCCTCCTCCTCCTCCAATTCTTTCTTGCATGAAGTAAATAAGGTTTTTTTTTTTCTTTCTCATTTCACTATGGAAACTATTGTCAACAGATTTTATAAAATAATGAAATAATTATGGCCTTTTTTTCTTTTCTTTTTTATTTAGCTTGATTTATAATACGAAAAAATACATCTTGTGTATTTTTACATTTATAAATCTATAATTGCTGATAAATTGATATTTTTTTTCTTTTATGTACATTAAATATTTCAACAAATGACACCATTTGTTTATATATTCTTACTTTTACAAGGACTTAAAATTGTTATAGAATAAGTATATTTATGTACTTTAATACTGATCATATTTACAAAGAATCCAAAGAAGCTTTTGTTTTCCAATTTAAAGTAATCATGCAAAAACCTTTCTTCAATTAAATTTTTTTCTTAACCCATCAACTGTGGTGAAAATTTCCGTCATTTGCAGATAAACCATAGAACTGCAATGATCAAGATTCTGATCATTCATAATTAATGGGTTAATACAATAGAAGCAGTGAGAAAAAATTCTCTTTGCAAAAAAATATATACCTGGTTTAAATGTTTTTCTCCCATTTTATTTTTCTTTTTTTTTTCTTTCTAGTATTTATATAATTTTCCACCCACTTCCTCTAGTGTGAAGCTGGTGCTGGATCATATGATGCGAATCATGGATATTCATTATGGGGGAGGGAGTAGAGGTACTTCCTCATTATCATTTCACTGATCATGTGACAAGAACATGGCATTGTATTGGATGAGTTTGTTTTTTTTTTTTTTGTTTTTTTTTTCTTTTTAAGAAACAATTGATGAAACTTGTAACTTTAACAAAATAAAAATAAAAAAAAAATCAGCATATTGTATCCACTTTTTTGCTTCTATCTTATATTCATAAATATTTTGGTTATTTTGTTTGTTTTTTGTCTTGCTTCAAATATGATTTAGGTAATAAATACATCACAGGCATATGTTACAAACTAATGTTTAGCTAGTATTATAAATCTGTTATTAAAAAAAGATGCTTCTCTATCACACAATCTGCAAGTGACTTTGCAAGTAAATATGCATAAATGCTTTGCATGTGTTTGTGACATTTAATGCATGCACACACACTCACACACCATATAGTTTAAAATGTGCTATATTTATGGGTTAAAGTGCTCAATATCAGGGATAGCATTTGTAAATATAAAAGTGGACGTTGAGCTTGACACTCATTGGTGGCAGTCTGTTTCATGCTTAAACACTATCTTCACACCACAAAGATTGCATTTAAAAATGAAAGACTGTCACCACTGGGTTTTGAGCTCAATGTTCACACATGATAAAAAATATAGTTTTAAGGCATGCTATATTTATGGATTAAAATGCTCAATATGAGAGATAGTTAATATATAAAATACGTATTATATGAATGGTTAATACAAATATAAAATTTGCCACTTAGCTGATTGATGTTACCTTCAGCATCCGAAATTTTGTAGGTGGCCCCTCCAGCAATTGCTTCATCCATTTGTCAGGGGATATCAGCAATTGACTTTATTTTCTTGTTTTTCTTTTATATTGTATTGAAAAATAATTTGTGCTTTTTATTGATGCAAGATTGTTCTATTTTTTTTCTCACTCTCCTTCTCTCCTCTTTCATTTTGTGTGCATGCATGTGTGTGTATATATATACACACACACACACACAATTGAAATGGATATATCTGTTGTAAAGGTGGAATTTTTCCCCTTGTATGGTAACAACCACTGGATAACAGCAAAAGTGGATGACCACTTGATGTCCTTTTTTTATGAGTTCTGTGTTTAAACTGAAAATATCTTAAGAAATATACTTTAAATGGACAAACAATTTACATTTGAAATTTGATCATCCCGCTGTCAGCGAAGCAATGGTGTACTAAAATAGTAATTAAACACAAAACCGATTTTGTTTATAGTTATTTTTTTTTCTCTCAATATTGAAATGGTCATGGGTAAGATTTCATATGGAAAACAACATGCAAATTTTTTCATTTCATTCTCATACATAACAATTGGCAATATTTTGTGCCCGCAAAAAATGTGTCAAAAGGATAGTTTTTCCCTTAACACCACTAGTATTTTATATTACCATCACTCCCTCAGAAAAAGCTGTTTAGAATTGTAATAAAACCTAGACATATGATGAAAGTGAATTTATACATTTTGTCTTGAATTTAAAATATTAAATATTATTTATTAGAGTGTTTCATTTACAATAATTTTATATTCATAACATTCTAAAAACTAATACAATTGTATTAAATATGCATTGCATTAGTTTAATCATTTTCCAATTTAAAAAGAAATATGAAACAAAGAAATTTATAAGCATTTACTAAATTATAAAAATGTGAACCAACTATAAGGAAATCCTTATTTACCATTTTATAAAGTTCAAATTGATTGGCAATTAATGTTTTGCCAACCATTCCAATTAACAATATAATGGTGTTTATTATTTTTGTTCTAAATTTTCAAGAAAATGAATGTATAAATTCATTTTCTTATGTTTATTAAAATTCTAATCATTGCTTTTTAAAACCACAAACATTTCTGAGGCATGAAGGTAGTTAAAATAATAGCAGTGTCGTGGTGGGGGGACATTCTTTTTTACACTTTTTTTTTTTTTTTTTTATAGGCAGAAAGGATAAAGATTGCCCATGGGTACATCCACAGATTTGTGATAACTAAGGTTTAAAATGAATTTTTAAAAATGAAAAATTTTTCTTGAAGCTTTTATTTCAGTTTTAATTTCAATTTAATATTTCCAATAAGCAAAATACTTTTCTCTATTTCAAAACTAGTTTAAATTGATTGGAAGGAGTTTTTAATCTGTGTATTTAAAAAAAAAAACTTGAATATAACCTGAGCACGTTTTTATGCAATCTTTAAGTACTCTGTAATCTTAAAAATTTAGGAATATATTCCCCATAATCTAATGTTTTATTGAATTTTATATACATTTCCTTTAAATTTACTATAGTTATCACTTATTTTCATGGAAAGGTCATGTATGAATATCTGTATCTACAAAATTCAACACGTTTATACACCTACAAAAAAATTTTAAAATACTGCTTAAAAATTTTTTTTTTTTTTTCTTTCTTTTTTTTTAAATTCTGCTACTAGTTCACAGGGGTTACAGAGATTGAAGGTGAGAGAAAAGCACTGGGTATAGTGGGGACTGAGGAAAGGATAAAAGCTGAAGGAGGTCCAAGTAGATGATGATTTGAAGTTGCAATTAAACTTTTGAAGGGTGTAGTTATCAGGAAAGGGAGTTACACAGGTGGAAAGTGGGAGAGAAGAAACTGTTGGAATAGAAGTGGCAATTTCCTTTACCTAATTCAACAGTAAAAGGGTGGGACCTAGATGCCAATCTAGTAGCACACTTAAATACAAGTTCGGACACCAGGGGTGGGGGATGCCTGTCAGCAGTAGCCGTGAAAATATTTATAAAAAAGACAGAGCTATGTCACATTGGTTAGAAATTGACTGATGTCAATTACATTGCAGATCCTTTGGATTTTGTCAAAAACCTCAAGATGAGTAGCAGGACCACCTAGCCAGATATGGCAGCAGTATTCAATGTGCAAACAAATGGTAGATTTGTAAATGTGCAAGATGGACTCTGGCATGACACAGTGACCCAATTTTCCTTGCAGTAGATGCAGCTATTGATTCAATATACACATTCCACTTGAAGTCAGTTGAAAATGTGAGGTCATGGTGGCACAGTGCGTTGCTCTCCATGAGTCTATGCTGATGGTTGGAAGGAAAGTGATGTTCTATAGTGATTAAATAAGAGCAGTTTCACAAATCGAGCTAGCCGTGAGCTTGCGATCACTCAATCTGGCATATGCTAAGAAGTGCTCCAACGATAGATTGGTTGGAAAGTGACCCAAGACTTTGCTCTTTGTACTTGGTTTGCGAGGTCTCCTGATTTCTTGTAGGGATATGTAAAGGACTGCATTTATATTCCACTGCTACCCACTAAACATCAAATAACAACCAGCAATCAATTCAGTGGATCATATGCTGATACACATCTGGGAGACATTCTCTTATCGCATTGATAATGGCCATGCTGCAGGTGGTAGCCACATTGAACACGTGTCAGACAGGAAATAAAATTTGTTTGAGTAGAATACTTGTGACTAGGCTGGAGTTTTCTATTGCTTTTCCTTATTAAAATATTGCATAATGAAATTAGTTCATTTTTTTTTGAATCGGTTTCATATATATATATATATATAAGGCAGGGTGTGTGTGTGTAATGAATGCACGGCCGCAATTCAATTTCAGATTTGCACCAAAATTTACATGCACATGCTCCAAGTTAGCGGGAAGGCCAAGACCAACCTTACATTTCCCAACTCCTATCAATAGTGGAAATAATGGATTTTTTTTTTCATGCTTCTACAGCAGTTTTCATGTAGTTTGCAGCCATTTTGTACTGGCCAGAGTGAGAGCCTATAACTGGCTGCCACGAATAGGCAGGAAGATTCTATTAGCCAGCGTGAGACCCAACAGCTGACTGACACGAATGTTAACTAGCATGCAAAAAAAATCGATAGCTGCATTCATCACAAGTGGGAAAAATTTAAATCTGCATGGCACTTTTTACTCCAATTGGCTCATTTCACTTGCTTAAACTCAATGTTGATTC